GCTCAGTCATTGATGGGCTCTGAACTAGAAGCAGCTCACTCAGGGCCTTTGTCTCTTCCTCCCTCTTTTTTTTTTTTTTTGAGACAGTCTCATGCTGTTGCCTAGGCTAGAGAGCAGTGGTACAATCACAGCTCACTGAAGCCTCGAACTCCTAATTCAAGTCATCGTCCTGCCTCAGTCCCCTGAATAGCTGGTATATAGACACGGCACCACACCCAGCTATTTTTTTTTTTTTTTTGTAGAGATGGGGGTCTCACTATGTTGCCCAGGCTGGTCTTGAACTCCTAGACTCAAGCGATCTTCCCAAGGTGCTGGGATTGCAGATGTCAGCCCAGCTCACTGTACCCAGCCACCTTCCTCTCTTTACCCATAAAAAGAGAGCTCTGTGACATTTCTTCCAGCCCAGTCACTGAGGATGTGATGAAGTCTGAGCGAGTGTCTGGAATGTGATTCACTCACGTGATTCCTGGAGAGGACACGAATAGTGTACAAGGTGCTTCTTATGAGAGTCTATATTTAGAAACCTCTTAAAAATGAACATGTTGGCTGACTCTCAAAAGCATTCGGGGCACTGCTAGAGCCCCTGGTTACCTTATTCCTACTAAACATGCTCAGGGCCTTTTCATTAGAGCCACTGACAGGAGATGGGAGGCCAAAGAGGTCGGTGGCAGAGCTTGGATTGGAAGCCAGACTTCCTGAATTCCAGTACCTTCCAGTGGCTCTCCATGCCCACCAGAGGTGTTACTCAGAACATGTGAATGTCCTTTGTGGGAGCTGGGGGAAAGGCACCTGGCACTGCTTCATATATGGAAGCTGAGCAGCAAATGTTCAATTGAATTACTCAGAGGTGGACATTTGCCATTCTAGGGACATTGCTCTAGAAAAGTGTTTTTTTCTTATGTTGTTTTTATTCCAGACATCCCTGAGGTGTTGGTCTCACAACTTACGATTAATGATTAATTAAAACCGCATGTGAAGGCAAATTGTGGGCAGAGTGTAAAAATCTGGAGAAAGTTATGTATGGAGCTCACTTTTCGCATCTGCACAGTAGCTGCTAAACTTTAATACACTCTACCTTTCCACTAGAGCCACTGCCCACTTCCCCCGGGGTGGCAGAGGACTTGTTGACATGGAACTTCAAGATGCAATTTCCCAGCCTGCATCTTGTCTTGAACTTTGGAAAAAAAGCAGCTCTGGAAATCTCACTTCTCACTTTGGGTGAATATCCACTACCTATCAGGGGCTGTTTTGTTTTGCTGGTTACAATTTGTTTGCTCAAGCAGTTAAAAGCTGTAATAGCCACTTAAGTTTTCCTGCTTTTGTTTGAATACATCTGTCTGCACTGGACTTCAAGTGCAAATGACAGGGTAAGAATGCCTGTGACCTAGGGTGATTAAAAATGGGTGCAGAATAACAGTAGCTCCTGTATCTCTTCCCTAAAACTTACCTTCTCAGCTAAGATGTGACAACTTAAAAAAAGCAATGATCTCCTCTCTGCCTTGCACCTTTAACTCAGGCATTGACTGTGAGCTTTTTCTTTGGAAACCTAAGATCGATATGTGTAAACATATCAATTTGAAATATTACTCCACTTACTCTGGCTCTAAGAATAGAAGGACAGTTTCAGTTTTGTTTTGTCTTCCTTTATTACATTTTTGCTCTTAAGATACAAACAAACCTCTCATACCACACAAAAAACATCCATTCGTGGGATTTTTAAAGTGCATTTCCCCTTGAACTTTGTGTACAAAAATATTTATCTTTTAAAACATGCAGAAATTTCTTGACAAGGCACTTTTAGGTATAAAATGAAGATGAGTCCTTGGTTCTACATTCGCATTGAAGTACAAGTGAAACATCCTCACAGCTGCGCTCTCAAAGCCCTCAGAGGTCCAGCAGTCTAAAAACTCGTCAACAAGACTGAAAACATTCACAGTTTTACAACGTGGGTTGCAGAGCTTTACAGCCATGACCAGGAAAAACTGCCCGTAACAACAGCTGTCCTTCCCAGTTCCAGATGTGTTGTCTCACTGCAGGAATTAAGATAAGCTGCCAAATTGTCTTCGTGTGACCCTGCAAGATCCCATTATCCATGTAACTTCTTGTCTCCAATTTCAGTGAACATGTCAGGAGAGATGTGATCGGGACTCTCCCAGGACTACATTCAGGTGAGAAATTTTAGAAGAGGAAACAAATAAAAGGCAACCAAGGTTTTCATCCCCTATCCATTGAGAGGGAAGATCCAGAAAATGGGCAGTTCCAAAAAATATGAACACTTTCTTGATTGATAAGCATATATGGCCCATTTAATGTCCATGTGACTACAACTAATGCCTTTTTTCAAAAAGAAAATGGTTTGAAAAGATCAAAACCACAAAGCAATCTCCTAACAGTTCCAAATTGACATCTTCTAAAAATGTATCGTATTTTACCACCATTAAAATGAAATCTTAGAGGTAAATTAAATTCTACTATTGCCTCTGAAATTGTTTGAATTTCTGGAGAACTGCATGCCTCCATTATTTCTCACCAGCTCCAGTAGAACAATAATTTTTTTAAATAAAGAAACCCACTCAAATGCTTCATGCCTTCCAAGAGATACTGAAAGCTTATTTATTAATTATCTGTATATAATCCAGCTTATTTATTGTACCCAGCTGGCAAATGCTCCGCAGGGCACTTGAGGGAATACATCTAAAACAAAAATGAAGTTGCTTCCCTGTTCCCAGACAGCTGCACCTGTGCCAGGTGGCTGGTCTGTCTGGGGCAACCTGGGAAAGATTCTGGGAATCAAGGGTCACTTGTTACCATAACCAAGAGCTGTCTGAAGGCAAATCTACAAGTTAGGCTGCAGTGAAGTCTCCAGCTAAGGAAGCTGTCACCCTCTGAAGTGTGTAGGCTTATCTACTGATGAAGAGCTATCAAACAAGGAGAGAAGCCATCAGTGCAGCTCCTGAGGCCATCTGAGAATTTCACGGGACAGAACTGGGCCAAAAGGAAAAAGAGTGTTTGTGGCAGGAGGGTAGCAGGGGAGCGAGTGGTAAACAGAAGCCAGCTAGAAGGCAGTATTTTTCAGACCCCCATACATCACTGAATGACAGCCCTGATGAGGAAAGTCAGGCAAGTAGAGTCTTTTATTGGAGAAGAAGGGTCTCTGCGAGCGGGTGAGGACTTGCCTTCTGAACTGTGCGGTGGGGTGAGCATCCCAGGTGTGCTGGCTGGGGTCTTGCAACCAGCGCCCCCAGCAAAAAAAGCCAGGGTGAGCTAGGAGAAAGACGGGTAGTGGGAAGGGTTTACGGCTGCTTTAGAAGAGATAGTTATCACTGAATTATCATATTTCAAATTTTGACATGGGAATGTCTTAAGATCATTATTAGATCAAATTCAACTGACTTTATTAAACAGAGTCACTGCAGGCCTTTTTCTTATGAACACAGAATGATCCTTAGTTGGGTAACATGTCAATGCCAGTGCACTCTGTGCCTTTCCTGCATTGTGGGGAGGGCACTTCTTAATGCAAAGTAAAATTCAGGATCTACATGACATCAGTTTTGTTCCATTTGAGTTCGATTTATGCTATTAATAGCTCTGATCACCAAATTTACAACATTTAAAGTACTGTCTGTTACACGATGTCTGGTATGTTTACATACAACATGGTTCTGCCCAGTAACAGCGTAAGGTAAAAATGTGATTTCCCCTAAAATTATATTATCATGTAATCCCAGAGTGTTACCCACCTGGGAGAGGTACAAAAAACAAAGCATTAGAATTCAGGCTAAGAACAGCCAGTTTTAGGAATAAGAATTACATTGAATAGCATTTAAGAGTATTTAAAAAGTCAAGGCATCTTAAACTTCAAAAATGAAAACAAAAACAAAACAAAACACCACCAACAACAAAAACAACCTAAGCCCACCACGAAACTCTAGGAGCCAAGGCACTCAATAGCTGCCTGTTGGTTATGTACAAAGCCACCGATGGGAGGTCTTTCCAAATTACTCTGGAAAACCCAAGCACAAGACTCTTAGCTTGAAAAGCCTAACAGCTGTGCCTCCAAATCCAGGCAACTGTGCTTCCACTCCTCTTCTTGCTTGCCTTAGGAAAACTTCACTTTAGTAAGATCAGGCAAAACAGCAAATAAAAGAGTCATTTAACCAAACTCCAAAAACAAACAAAAATAGAAAGAAAAAAAAAAAACCAATTTCCTACAAATATACATGTAAAAATATATTTTTAAAGCACCCCTAAGTAAACACCAATCTTACCCAAGAAAAATCACAGGTTTGGGGTCTATCTGATAATGATTGTCCCAGAGGTCTCTCTTTTTTTTTGAGACACAGTTTCACTATGTTGCTTAGGCTGGAATGCAGTGACATGATGATCTTGGCTCACTGCAACCTCCACCTCCCAGGTTCAAGTGATTCTCCTGCCTCAGCCTCCCGAGTAGCTGGATTACAGGTGCCTGCCATCACACTCAGCTAAATTTTGTATTTTTAGTACAGATGGGGTTGCACCACGTTGGCCAGGCTGGTCTTGAACGCCTGACCTCAGGTGATCTGCCCGCCGCAGCCTCCCAAAGTGCGGAGATGACAGGCATGAGCTACCACACTCGGCCCCGGAGGTCTCTTTCACAACAGCACTAACCAACAGACTTTAGTCCAATATGGTTAAGAACAACGAATCTCTGAAATGTCAGAGTTGGCAAACATTTAAAATAACCTATAAGAACTTGGGTGAGGTTTTTCTCACCTATCCCTTTCCATACACACCATAAATAAGAACACCCAAATCCGTGTCCCTGGGTGCTGGTAAAGTGTTCTAGATATTGTAAATCACAGTCAAGATAAAACCATTTTCTGCAGGTTTTGAGGAGACATTGGATCTGCAAATCAAATGTCCTAAACACAGCAGAAAAGACGACGCTTCAGGAAGGGAGATCCAAAATTCTTTCATAAAGAATGAAACCAGCCAAGTAAGTTAAAACAAATCTTGTCATTGAGCTTTCCAAGGAAAAATCAGATTTTCCCGGTGATTCAGGGTAAATGTGGGGACTTAGAAAGCTCCCCCTAGAAGGCAAGAGGAGAAGCGGAAAATGTCCCCACTCATGACTGTCCTGCCTCGTCAGAACCCTGCAATCTGTGCCACCGCACAGGAACCAGTGGGTTTTGATGACTGGCATGTTGCTCTCCGCTGGAATAGATCTGTGGAGTCAAGAAGAGTGGGGAGGAAATGCCTGTCTCAGTCACCAACCATTTTGCCTTTATTATCTTTTCCTGAACGTCAGATCAATTGTGGAAAAACATAAAATGCAAAAGATGAACTTTCAGAAAACAAGAGCCAATCCCATTTCTCTTCTGCAGCTGCATTGGAAATGTGCGTCAGGTCAGTGTGTCACAGCACAGAGATGCACGTGGACGGGGAAGCACAGCAGCTTGCAGGAAAGGCCTGGCTGGCAGAGAGCACCCAAAGATGAACACGACGAACAGTGAGGGTCCAACGTGAGGTGGCTGGGGCTGAGCGGCTTTTTCTGCTCTCCTCTGAGTGGAGAGCAGAGATCCTTCCAGCTTCATCAGCTCCTACAGCTTCATCAGCACTGGCACAGGCTTGGTTCCCATCCATACCCTTTCCACCACAGACCTGCACAGACTCTCGTGGCTGCCACAGTGCCCAAGCGCGCCAGCCACCACCGCTTCTTTGAGGGAGACACCAATTGTGTAATCTGAACCTGGCTGGATTTGCTGGTTTAAGAAAGAAGTGAAGAGGATCCTTTTATTTTCCCAAACTGGGCCTCATGGAAGTTCCACTTTGCTCCTCCCTGGCCTTCCATCTCCACTGCACAGTGAGCAGAGCTAGGCTTGTCTGCGGCAGCTCTGCCACGCCCTGTCACCCGCAGTCACTAGTAGTAGGGCCCTAGCTTTTCGTATCCCAAGTAACTTGGCCACTCTGGAAACAGACCATAGGAACACCGAGGGCTTCCAAATTGGTCAAAGGATATTCCCAAATCCGGTCCATTGTGGGGCTTGGTCGTTCCCTGGGTAGATTTTAACTCAGCCCGGATGATCCTATAGTTCTTGCCTCTGTTGCTGTCCCAGTGCGTCTGTCCATTGCACTCGTAGTACACAGCAAACTCCATTCTTTCATAAGACTGAATCTTCTCGGGCAAGCTGATATCGAAGGAGAACGTGTCCCTGTCTGAACCAGCGTAAGTGTCCTTCACGTACTGACAAGGAAAGTCTGTGTAGCTCTTCCAGGTGTCAAACGTCATCCTTATCTTCACGGTCTTCTCAAATGCAAGGTTCTGAACCTTCACAGTGCCTGCAATGGCCCTGTCCTTGAGCACACAGTTCTCAAGGCAGACGTGGTCAGCCTGAAGTCGATTTCTAAAGTCTAAGTAATCTGCAGAGGGCTGGGAAAAATCCAGAACAAAGCTCTCGCTCTCTGCTGTCGTCAAGCTCACAATGCTGTCTAGGAGCTCGGTGATGTTGAATGTGATATCTAGCGGGTCATCAAATTCTGAGAACACTTTGACCATTGTCAAGGCCAGCCCTTGGTTGTCTGCGAAGGACACCCGCTTTTTCACCTTCTTCTCCTGGACAGCTGGGGCCACCATTCCACTGGCTTCCTTCTTGCTGCTCAGCTGAATACAAGGCCTCAGTGGTTTGCTGGGCTTTGGTGAGATCTTAAAGGCAAACCTCTCTCGGCGCAAGGAAGGAGCCATGCAGTCGTATCTGTACTCGATGTCCACGGCCATCATGGGGCTAGATGAATAGGCCAGAACCCTGGAAAGGGAGAAGAAAGAAAACAGCAGAGCGATCAGATCAGACAGGTGTGTAAAGGCATCATTCCAGCAGGGACTGGCAAACAATATTTCCTTTTATCTCTGCCCACATGGCTACAGGTCAGGATTAACTCTGGTGTGGTCCAGCACAACACGGGTTTGAGGGAAGATTATGCTGTGTGGGGGACAAGTTGGGGGGTGCGGTTCAAGGTTAAAACAAACAAAAGAGTAAGAAACCCACCAGTTTTAAAACTAAATGCACAGGTTTTTTGGTCAGCATTTCTTGGGGCCTTCTGTTGGCTAATGTGCCACAGAGGATAATTAAAAGGGCATATACTGTTTTAAGATTTCCCAAACCTATATGACTAAAAAGGTGTATTTATTTACGTATTTTTAGAGACAGGGTCTCGCTTTGTTGCCCAGGCTGGAGCACAGTGGCGTGATCACAGCTCACTGCAGCCTCGACCTCCCAGGCTCAAATGATCCTCCCACCTCAGCCTCCCAAGTAAGTGGGACCACAGGCGCAAGTCACCACGCTTGGCTAATTTTAAAAAATTTTTGTAGAGACAGGTCTTACTATGTTGCCCAGGTTGGTCTTGCACTCCTGGCTCAATCCGTCCTCCTGCCTTGGCCTCCCAAAGTGCTGGGATGACAGGTGTGAGCCTCTCTGCCCACACTTTATTAATTGAGAAGTAAAAATTGTATATTCTTATGGTGTACAACATGTTTCCATATATGTATACATTGTGGAATGGCTAAATCGAGCTATTTAACATGCATTATATCACACTTTTTTTGCAGTGAGAACACTTACAATCCACTCTCAGCAATTTTCAAGTATATAACATATCATTACTAAGTATAGGCACCATATTGTACATTAGAGCTCTTGAATTTATTCCTCCCTGTCTACCTGAAATTTTGTATCCTTTGGCCAAAGGATACCTCTCCAGTCCCTCCACCCCCAGCTTCTGGTAGCCACCATTGTACTCTCTGGTTCTATGAGTCTGACTTTTTCAGATTCGACGTATAAGCAAGATCATGCTGTATTTGTCGTTCTGTGTCTGACTTATTCGCTTAACATCCTCCAGTTTCATCTGTGTTGGCACAAATGACAGGATTTCCTTCTTTTTTCAGGTGGAACAGTATTCCACTGTGTTTATATGCCATGTTTTCTTTATTCACTCATCTAATGATGGGCACTTAGGTTGATTCCATATCTTGGCTTGGTGAATAATGCTACAATGAACATAAGAGTGCAGAGAACTCTCTGATATACTGACTTCAATTCCTTTGGATATATGTCTGGTAGTAGGATTGCCGGGTCATATAGTAGTTCTAGTTATGGTTTTTTGAGGAGCCTCCCTACTATTTTCCATAATGGCTGTACTAATTTACATTCCCACCAACAGGAGACAAGGGCTCCCTTTTCTCCACGTCTTTGCCAATACTTATTTTCTTTGGTCTTTTTGAAAATAGCCATCCTAACGGGTGTGACATGACATCTCATTGTGGCTTTATATTTGCTATAATCTGATAAAAAGAAATGGACTCATCCCACAAATATAGATTGGGTGTTTCCTATATGCCAGGCATCGAGCAAGACACTGGGATTCAACAGTGAAGACAGACACAAACCTGCTTTCATTAAGCTTATGGTAGGTTTTTAAATGTCAGGATACCGTTCTGGGCGGTGGCTCACGCCTGTAATCCCAGCACGTTGGGAGGCCGGGCAGGTGGATCATCTGAGGTCAGGAGTTTGAGACCAGCCTGACCAATATGGTGAAACCCTGTCTCTACTAAAATTACAAAAATTAACCGGGCATGGTGGCATGCATCTGTAGTCCCAGCTGCTCTGGAGGCTGAGACAGCAGAATTGCTTGAACCCCGGAGGCGGAGGTTGCAGTGTGCAGAGATCACACACTCCAGCCTGGGCGACAGGGCAAGACTCCGTCTCAAAAACTAAAAATAAATAAAATAAAAACAATCAGCAATTTAGTATTTTTAAGCCTTTAACATAGGTGAATATTTGTTTTTTCCACAAGTAAAAAATTGGCTCTATAAGAATAAAAAGCAAATACAATCATGCTAAACGAGGATAAATCTGAATTAACAAAAACTATATTTTCTATAAGTAAAAATGATAAGTAAAACAAAAAAGATTAAAGACAAACTGTGAAAATATTTTACAATAAGCATAGCAGCAGAGCTAATACCTTAATATGTAAAGTGTTCTTACAAAGCAATAAAGTCAAATATTCCACATAGAAAAATAAGCAAAGAACGTGAATAGAAAATTCAGGAAAAAAAATTTTTAGGTGGCCTATAAATATGCAAAATGTTCAACCTTATTATTAATTTAAGAAGTATAGATGAGAAACAATGTCTGTTTTTTATTTATTGAATTAGGAAAAAAATTTAAAAGATAATGCAAGCTTTTTCTTTTTTTTCTTTTGAGATTGGGTCTTACTCTGTCACCTAGGCTGGAGTGAAGTGGTATGAACATGGCTTATGGCAGCCTCCACCTGCTGGGCTCAAGCAGTCCTTCCACCTCAGCCTCCCGAGTAGCCAGGACCACAGGCACGAGCCACCATGTCCAGCTAATTTTCAAAAAACATTTTTTTGTAGAGACGAGGTCTCACTATGTTGCCCAGGCCAGTCTTGAATTCCTGGACTCAAGCAGTGCTCCCACCTCCGCCTCCCAAAATGCTGGGATTTACAGGTATGAGCCACTGTGCCTAACCGATGCAAATATTTTCATTAGTCTAAAATGGCACGACCTTTCTAATTTTTTCTATCATTTTTTATTCTAATATCACACAGAGACATTTATCCTAAGAATTAAAAACACATAGAAGTGAAGGTACTACAATGTTCAATGCCACATTATAGGCGGAAAAAAGATGACAAAATAACCTAGATGACCATTAACAGGTACCTGGTTAAATCAAATGTACCACATCCATGTGATGTACTTTTATGTTTATTGTTATTATTTTTTCCTTTTTTGAGACAGAGTTTCACTCCTGTCGCCCAGGCTGGAGTGTAACAGCACGATCTCGGTTCACTGCAACCTCTACCTCCCGGGTTCAAGTGATTCTCCTGCCTTAGTCTTTCGAGTAGCTGGGATTACAGGAGTCTGCCACCACGCCCAGCTAATTTTTGTACTTTATTAGTAGAGACAGGGTTTCACCATGTTGGCCAAGCTGGTCTCAAACTCCTGACCTCAGGTGATCCACCGCCTCAGCCTCCCAAAGTGCTGGGATTGCAGGCAGGAGCCACCAAGCCCAGCCCATGTGATACAATTTTATAATCATCATTAAAGCCATTATTTTAAAAAAGATTTAAATGAAATGAAAAAATTATACTTATGTCTATATATAGATATA